CCGATCGATGCAGCAAAAAGCAAAAGTAATGGGTCATCTGAAGTTATTTTTCCGAGATGATGTCTCCATGGACCAGTTGTGATCAGAATGTCTGTATACTTGTGGACACCCATACTGAGCCGAAGGACAGTGTAAAAATCATGATCCCCGATTCATCCACAGAATCATTCGGAACAATGGGTGTTTTGCTTTTTCCAACGTGTTCTGTCTCTTCAACTTTTTCCCTGAGAACACAATACAGATATAGGTGTGCTTTTGCTTGAAGGCACTGTTAAATACCCGTGTAGTCAACCGAAGTAAGCGAATCTGTTTAGCATATTCAGATAAACTAAAAGTATCATAATTCACTGGGTGAGTCCTTTTCAAACGGCACTGAAAGCAAAGTCCCATCTGTTATCTTGTCATGATCCCGCTCTTTGATCGTGATACGGAAATCATATCCCATTTGGATCTGGCATCAAGTATTTAGTACAAACATTAGTTACAATACCACATTTTTTGCACCTAAATACGATTCATTTTCATCAGTTTCGAGAATTTCGCCGATCTAGTATTAATGAATGTCCTAAGCTAGAGAAACTTCTTCCCGTAAACTTGGAGTACGTATTTTGTTGTAAACTTACGAATAAACGGACTTTTTCGGATACTGATGACATTTTACAAGCCTTGCATCCTCGTCAACCTAATGAACACTTGCTTTTACTATGTTCTCACCCGAAAATTGGTTCATTTGAGCAGATTAATATTGACTACCCGAAATTCAATACCTTGAAGGATGCGGTGGCTGAATCCACTACGTTTTGCTATTTAGATTCGCATCGACTTCAAACTCCATGCCTTCATTTCTTTATGCTGCCTACTTCCATCCCCACATTGGTCACAGATCTAATTAGATGCTAACTGCTGTCTTCGATCACATAACTATGTAGCTCACCGGAGGAACCTCCTGGAAAGGATCTGGATATCCTCGGAGGTAACTGAGGGGCTGATTTTTCCCCGGTCACATACAATTTCACTCAATCCCTAGACTAACAAAAAAAATGGCCCACGCCAATTCAGGAAAAACAGCAAGTTGTGTTGGACTTGCTTCAGTCACGTCCACTTGAATGGAGTGGGGCGGTCGAATTTGACGAAGTCACCGCTTAGTTAAGATAGATAGTGAGGCTGACAGCTGGTTATTAGGCGCAGTTTACCTCCGGTTGATTCGACCGAGGGACAATGTGTGAAGTAGCTTTGTCCAACCTACTTTCACAGTGAACCCCATGCACTTTAGAAACGAAACCTAGAAATTCGCCCCCTAGTTTCAGTAAATTAGGGGCAAGTAAACTGAACATATCCCCTGTAGTGAATGGATTTCTGCTCCATTCACAGATGTATAATGACTTTGAGCAACCGTTCCATGAACCATTAGTCAAAATATTGTCAACACCTACCAAATGTACACGGAATGGCTTCCACTCTATCAGAGATTTCACACAAAATCAGTTTGTAAGGGAAATTGAGTTGTGACTGGGATTTCCTGAGATATTTAAAGATATTGTCAGCGGCTTCTGCTCTCTTCCTTTTATGAATAAATACGTCTTTTTGTAGCGGAAAATTTGGCATTCAGCCCAGTTAGTCCTACGGAAACATTTGATGCGGTACCATCACAAATTTGTTTCCACCTCTTATCATTTAGATGCAGCGAGAAATTCATTATGAAGTATTTTTAGCTCAATAAAATGATTCTGTGATGCCCGCGCAGCGCAATACTTTACAATTTTTCCTTCACATATTGTTTCACGTCATGAAGCGTGACAGTCATGTAAAAATAACTCACGTAGAACGAGCCAGCCACAATTTACGCTATCTTTCTCCATAGAAAACATAGTCCACTGTTTTTTTGAAACTATCCTTGATGCTGTCCCGCTGCAGTTTATTTCCAAACTTTGCTTTCCAAAACCCAAAGTGTATCCTAAGGTGTTTTAGAAGGGCGACATTTCGTGAAAAAGGCAGTACTTTTAAATTTTAAAATGCTTGCTTTCGCGTACGTCAAGATTTCCGCCAAATGTTGTGTGTGCAACTCAACAACTATGACGCCATCGCGATATCATGGAGTAGATCAGTGACTATTGCATTAGTTGCGTGTTCGGCTTGTCTACATATACCTAGGCCTGTAGACGCTCTTAGTAATGTATTACACTCCATTGTAACGCCGGAGAACCAGTAAATAACAAGCGCTATTGACGTTAACCTGCTCCATGAGCCGAGAAAATTGTGTTCAGTTTTACTAGATACGCGAATACTCACCGACTCGTAGTTGAATTGTTTCTTACGACGGAATGTCAATTAGAATAAGCCGAATTTCTAATATCTGATGAATCGTGAGTTCAACAATATTCTAACGTGTTTAGAGTGACGAAATATAGAGCATATAGCTGTAGGAAATGTAGATGCATTTAAAAACCACTTTGGTTTTACGGGAGCCTCCTAGACCACGTATGTCAACAAAATGCCCTGCAGAAGGCTTTCTCATGATTTAGTGGGATATTGCAGCACATTTTCTTGAAGGAACACTACTCACATGGTTCTCAAAACTCCTCAACTACCTTGTGATTGGTATTCCTCCATGAATATATACTTCTCATGTCGATAATTTGGTTAAACACCCGAAGACAGGGTCCACATATCTAGGAATATTTTGTCGAGGTGTAGCCAGTAAATATAGATGGTAGGCATTTTTAACTGGTAGTTAAACGGGCTTAGAAATG